TATATATATAAAATTGCATGTAAATTAATGGCTTTGAGTTTTGAACCAAAGCTTCCAGATATTTTTTTCTCTTGCTTTGCAACATGACAGACACATTCTACAAATGTGCCAGCAAGGAAAAGAACTGTACATGTATACTGATTTTAACCTAACATTTTCAAAACTGTTTTAAATGCTTGATTAAACATTTAAGCTCTCAGATGTGCTCTTGTATCACATAGTAAACACATAATATGGAAACGTGACTACTTGGAAATACTCGTTTTAGAAACTTACCACTCTGTGTATGCATATGCTGCTCTATATTCATTCAACTGCTAGTACTTGAGCTCCTGGTAACTCAAGAAATATATGGAAGCAGCTTATTTTGATAGTTACTTGTAAATGAATAAATGTAGTTAATAAATAGGAAAAAGTGTTATGGCTACACAACTCCATTGCCATTAGAAAGATTATAGTCAGTTTTCTATACTAGGGACTCCACAACAAAGCCAGCATTTTCCAACAGTTATTAACTTATGTGCCAGCGCTGTATTCCTTAACACAATATTTAGAGAGTTCCTGGCCCAAATTGCTCACAATTTAATCAAGGCAGACGTAGAGGGAACAGGTGGGATGGAAAGCAAAATCTAAGTGGGAAAGACTAGGCTTATTTATTGACTCATTTAAATATTATGAGGTTTATTTTTGTTTGTTTTTACTATTATTAGGTGATTTCTTAAGGGACTTATGGTAGAAATGTAAGCCTTTTGGAATGATAGCAAATGAAGAATGAGTGGATGATGAGCAAGCTGGAATAAAGCTAAAATTCTTGTATTATGTCTTGGGTGTCTCTTTGTTGTAACTGAATAAATTGATATCAGTAAGTATTGTTGAGATATAAAGTGAGAAATAAAAATGTTCTCATCTGTATGGTCAGATTTTTTTTCCGTGTAACTAAATGCACAGTGTTATGTACATAGGAATGAAGGACTGGAATGTGCCCCAAACCCATGTTAGGGTTCATTTAAATCTGTTTAATGAGGGGGGACCAATAGAGAGAGAGAATCATCTGATCTGTGCCAGATTTGTTACACAAAACTATATCCAGTCTTACCAAAAAGGGCTTTGAACAGGAAATAAAGTGGTGTATGCCATGAAGCCTTTGCAGGTTGTATATTTGAATATCTGTGGACCAGCATTATAGCAGGCCTTAATTTAAAGCCATATAGTTAAAAAAAAAAAAAGAGGAAAACAAGTCTTTATTGAACATTACAAAATGATCTTCTTTTTCAGGGTGCTCCTAAACCAATCGCCATTGAGCCTTGTTCAGGAAACAAAGCAGCGGTCCTTACTGTATTTTTATGTCTGCCAAGAGGATCGTCAGGAGTCCCACCCCCTGGGCAGTCAGGTAAGACGCACACAGGTAATCGCTGAGGCTTTGATCCTGAAAGCTGTCTCCATTGCCCCACACACCCATTTAGAAACATAGGTTCTGCTGGGACAAGCCACGTCTCAGTATGATGGCCAAGGACAATTTAATATACTACCCGATGAATTTTCTTTTCAATTTAATCTGACATCTCAGATAAAATTTATATTTTATAATAATGATTATTCTTCATTCCACACTGTGCATGGTAGCTTCTTTTCAAGTTGCTTTGGACAGCCCTTACGCTAGACAATCCATGAGTTTTTGCTTTGTATTTTCAGTAAGGAATGTCAACCCCTTTCAATTAAAATACTGTGTTAGCGTTTCACAGAATGCCAGCCAAATAAATGCTAGAAGTGTATGAGTATGTATACCAACTTCATTAAGGAGATGTTCATTTGGAAATCATCCCAGTCCATTTTAAAACAGCATTTCTATTATCAGGGAGTATTTCCCATAGTAGTCCATTTCATTTGATTTGTGCCAGTGTTGCACAAAAATATATCCAGTCTTACAAAAAAGGGGGTTTAAACAGGAAATAACTAGGTATATGCGTATTGTGCATATTGGATGTCTTATATTAAAAAATGTCAGAAGAGATCATAGAATAATCTGGGGCCATTCAGGTGATGTAGATTACTGCAAGAGTCACTGCAAGGCAAAGGAAATGCAGTTTTAATATTTACTGGGATGATTTCCAAAATGAGCACCTCTGTAATGAAAAGTAAACTGATACAGTATGTACCCATATACTCCTGTCCACAAAAAAGCACAGTTTAAGGATAATGTGTACTCTCAAGAGCCAAAATCATATCCTCTTAACCTTCAAACATCTATTTATGAAATTAAAAAAATATTGAATAATGATGCTGACTGCAGAATTAGTTGCCTACTGTCATTTTGCTCCTTTTTTGTGTTGGGTACTGATGTATTTAAGTTAGATGATTTGTGAGAGGGGGAAGTTGTGTTTTTTTGGGAGGAGGAAGGTTAGGTATTGGAAGGAGGATGATTTGGGACATCATTTTGGGGAGTACCACACAACACAAGCAATACTTTTGAAACCAGAGGTTTAGTTTTTTCTAGGGGCTTTTAATTTTTGCTTTTAGTTTGTTCATATTTCTACGTTTTCTTACCCATGAGGTTTGTCTACGGTAAAAATTGCAATGAATAAGTTAATTTTAAGTCACTTGTCTTCTCTGTTTACAATTTTAAATCACATGCACTATGCTGGATTGTCATTGCTGCGGTCAAAAAGAGAACAAGATTTCCATAACAGGACGTAAATGCAAAAGAGTGGATGTGTGCCTTTCTCGAAATTTGTCTTTACACATTTTGTGGCACATGGCTTTCATATTTTCACAGGTGAAAAATAGCACTGTCACTTTCTAGTTTGCTGTATTTTATTATTTTGCCTTCTACTAGCTTCCCAGGCAGATATTTCAACCATATTCCTTTGTTTATTACTGGGATCTTTTGTCAGCCTTTTAATGTTTATAAATCTGTGAAATTTTTAAAACCCTTCAGCAGCTTTCATTTTATTCAGGGTCAAAAGCAAGCAAAAATGCTTAATGGTCGCAACTGTGCTGATTCATCCATTAGATTATATTGCTATAATCTTTTTTTCTTAAGTGCACTGAATTTTGGTACTTGTGGCCTGCTATCACTGTACGTAGTCATGCATGGTCTAGGCAGAAGCTATTATGCAAGTTTCTTGGCATACCGGTAGCTCTGCTAATTCACTTCATTCCTGTCCTGCAGCCCTACCTGCTGTTTCATTCCAGGGCTTCCTGGGAGCAGACACTGCCAACTGTGCCAAGCTACTTGAAATTATATGGGAGCTTTGCGCTGCAGACATATGTTTGCTGTGCAGCCTGTTTCCCTTATGACCTATGCTAGGTTAAAACAAAGATGTTTAGGTTGAGGGAAATAGTGTGTTCAGCAATTAAAGGATGCCAAATAATCTTAGACCACCACTTCACTTTCATATAGCTGCCCCAGGGCTCATTACAATCATTTTAGGGTAAAACTGGCATGGACGCAAATGCATTTTTTAAATGGTAAAATATGTCAGTGATGTTGGTTCTCATTTCTCAGTGGAAGAACCTGGATTTTATTACTTACGAACAAGTGGCTATAAAATTTAGAAACGGAATAAATACATTTTCATTAATCTGGGGTCCTGATTCTGCTTGCAGACACTCAAGCAAAGCTCTCATTGAAGTCAATGAAGTTGTATAGTTTTCTCTGCTGTCTCTTGACAAAACTTTTCCAGTAAAGGGTTCTTTTTGAATGACTGAGTGCAAATACAATAAGGTTCCTATAGTGGAGATTATCAGTGTTCTCACCCCCACTGCTAACGAGCAAACTATCAGAAAGATCACATAACTGCTTTAAGCTTAACCCAAAGATTTTCAAATCTTTTTGGAGGCACAGTGACTTCCAGCTGAAAGTTAAGCCGACCCCATTTCTTGGTGGAAACGCCATGAACCTCATCAGAGCCACCTTTCACACAGCATTGTGCTAAATTATGCACTGTTTTTATGACGGTACAAATAATGGCTAGATTGTAACAACTGAACTCCTTTTTGATTATGGCCAAGGTCTGGAACAGGCTCTCAAGGGAGGTGGTGCTCTCCCCTACCCTGGGGGTCTTCAAGAGGAGGTTAGATAAGCATCTAGCTGGGGTCATCTAGACCCAGCACTCTATTGAGGTCCCTTCCAACCCTAACATCTATGAATCTATGAAGTTGGGCTGGGTTAATAGATTCAAAGGAAACACATGTAAAAAGTGGCTGCACTGGAGGCAGAGAATGTATTAATTAAGGCTCATTTTGGAAAAGAAGCCTTTTTCAGTGAAAGAAGACTTGCAAGTCCGTTAATCTTACTAGAAACTTTGTTAAAAGCCAAAGGAGTACTGATGATTACTATCGGTAGCCCTTAAATTTTCTTCAAGCTGTAAGGTTGGAACAAGATCCAAACAGCTTATTGGCAATTATTTTAAATAACTGCTAATGTAAAAAAAAAATGTACCCTGGATGTCAGAAAAAATGAGACCCAAGTCACCAGTGAGAGATCACAATGAGAAGTAGATTAAGGGTGATTTGTTGTGATAGAAAATAATTGCTTGGTCCCAGATTTACTATACAGATTACAGCCCACCTTTTCTTACCTCCGCTATTGTGTCTCCTCAGCTGTTTTGGAGTATTGCATTAATATTAATATTCAGAGGTTCAGAAAAATAGCTGCTCTTTGTAGAATGCGTATGTACAATATTTCAGACAAATGGCTTGTTCTAGCACGCTGGACAGATTATAATATATAAGGCACATATGTGTCTTCACATTTTATAATACATTGGAGGCTGGAGATATTGTTGTAGTGATCTTATACTTTTAAATAACTTAAACTCTCCATTATATCAAAGATGATCTATAGCTATATCCAGTGTTTTAGGGGAAAAAAACCTAAATGACACATCACTGTGGGCAGTACACAAAACAACCTAGACAATGGGGATATAAGAGGCACAAAAAGATCATTCATAAATTACCTAAAAAAAAGGAACAGGATGCCAAAGACATATCAGCACCTGAAAGACTAAGACCAATTCAGGGTTTCCCTGTACAGCTCTGGTAATATGTTGAACTGAGAGAATCTGATCATGAACTACATGCAATAGCAAAGAGCTGAGGGACTGGACTTGGGGAAGATTAAGAAATGGACAGCAAATTCAGAGCAGGAGACTAAAATGCCCTGGATCAAACGCCTGATAATGGGGTGAAAAGCCATGAGAGTGAAGAGTAGAAGAGAGGAGCCAAGGAGAATGGCCGTCGTACAGGGAGGCAGGCCTGGGGACGAGTCAGAACTGGGAAAGGGGCAGGTTAGGGTGGAAGAAACAGAAAGCTTTGAGAGAACGGAAAAAACAAGACAGCAGCCCACTGAGTCACTCTCATTTGGAGCCTAGGAGGAAAGTTTTCTGAGTCTTTCCCTTGCTCTATGATGAGCAAATATGTGTGAATGTCACTGGCAAAGTGTGTCTCGTTTTTCTCACACACTGCTATACTTGTAGAGGATAGCAATCTTCTTGCTGCTGGTTTCACCATAAGGCAGAAAGCCGTTTGTCAGTTTAAAGGTTATAAATGTGCTGATTTTGTGGGTGTTATCATGGCACAGGATTACATTTCAGGAGGTAAGGGAGGAGATGTTGGGGAAAGGTCGGGGTGGGGGAGTTGTCGTTGTTGGGTTCTTTTTCATGAAACCAGGAAATTACACCCAAGAAACATAGTGTTAGAGCCCGACTCCGTGCAGCACCCAATAACTAGGGAGAAGATGATCCAATTGCTCATGGATCCAGTTACTCATTAGCCAGAGCAAGCAGGGAGCAAACAGCAGCACACATTGCTTGCAACAGCTTTATTCAGGATGGAGACAGCTTCGGGCCAGGTGCTTCACAGACACACAGCCCAGGAACCAGGGGACCTGCAGTGAACATGAGTTGTTTTCACATTTTATACACCTTGGTTCATACTCATTAACATTCACTCCACCTTCATCCCTCCTTTGTTCCGCCCGTTTCTCCTCCCAAGCTCCACCTCTGGTTACAGTTTAATTCGTTAGCATGGAATTGCCTATGCATTTCATTCATTTACATGCCTCTCTGCTAAGAGCGCATGCGTAAGGCCATGAACCTGGCTTCTCCCGATCACTTGCTGGTTCTTTCTGGTTTCTTGGTGACTCCTTCATCTCCAAGGTCTTGCTTCTGCTTTATCTCCTGACGATAGCTGGTGGGCTGCATCTTGTTCTTCTTACACTATATATCCTACACACTACCCCACTGTTAGGAAACTGCTTGCCTAAGCATTTGTAATGTTACTTTTAATATATCATTTTGCCTTGTGACCAGCAGCTTTTGCTGAGACACAGATGAAAGCCTTTATTCAGCTGCAAATCCAGTGCTCCCCAAGATCCAAATACTGTCA